TAACCTCCTGAAAGAAAAAAAAAAACATTGTTTTGTACAAAAGTAAACAAATATATGAAATGTGACTCCTTAATTAATGAGCTCAGGTGGATTTTGTTACCTTTAGACTGAGCCACGTTAACTGTTTCCACTCTTTATGTTAAATTAAGCTAAATGGGTGCTGGCTGTAGCTTCAACTCTTCAAATTCTTGAAAGTATATTAGCTTCAAGAACTTCTGCAGCAACAAACGATAATAACTACACTTTTTTTGTTTCATTAATGTTTATTTATACCTTTCAGAGTCAAATTTCAAATATATTTTTCCTCTAAAATACTTCAGTACATGACAGAGATATACAACACCCAGCACTGGTTGCTACCCTTCTCCCCTTTGTTCCTGTTGAAGGTGCATTTCACATCTTTTGTTCCAAAGTGGATCAATACATAGACTGCTGTGCGCTGTAAAACTTGACAGTCAGTACGTGTACTGTCGCTGTGACCGATGCACTCTTTTCCAAAACTTACTTAATGCAAAGACAGCGCTTGTCACAGTGAGTTACAATAGTCAGGTGAGTCCTAAAAAGTCATTTATAAGGTTCGAAGGCTTATCACTTAGATGCTGCTTGGTGAAACATTTGATGCCACAGAACACAGTACTTACACCGTCTTATGTCGGTAAAATGTCAGAAAGTCCACTGTCACTCTGGGATTCAGTTACTTGTGGACTTGCAAAGTGTGTGGATCAGCCAGATGTTTTTTGAGAGAGAATAGTCAATCAAACATCAAATTTAAGCACTGTTTTCCTAAACCAAATCAACACTGTTTTGAACCTTCTTTTGGGAAACCAGGGCAAGGATCACAGCGTTTTGGGGAAAAGATCATGACGGTCTAAACTAAGGCTGTAATACCATAATAAAGTAACATTACAGGGGAGCAGTAGCTGGGAGTGCTACCAGCACTGAAACTGATTGTTTTTCACTATGTCCCACAAAAAGAAAAGAAAATATGAACAAGTGCCTCACTTTATTTATTGTTTCCAGGCAGAATGCTTGATCTATTGCCAGGCAGTTGCTCAGTGTATTGGCAGATTTTACAGTTAAGCAGCGGACAGAGGCCGAGTGAGTCCAAACAGTCTCTTGCAGGTCAATTCTAATCAAGACAGGACACACAGTATACAGTAGGTGGAGGATTAACAGTCACTTTGTCATTCCAGTTGTTATTTACCTGCATGGTGGCAGAAATCTGTTTGTAAGTGTGAGTGTGTATGTACTGTATGCTTTTGTGTGTGTGCATATGCAGCTCTACAGGGGCTCGATAAACACATGGACAGAAACAGGAAGCAGCTAGTGGAAACTTCAATACTTTCTTGAGAAGACTACACTGAGCCGCAGTGTTTCACAGACTTAACCTATGTTAGAGGGTTGCAACTAAAATAGATGAACCTTTCAAATGAAACGTTATAAAACAGACTGATTTTCAGATAGTAAGTAGATTAACTGTGTCACCTGCCTGATAAGAAAAAATCAAACAGCACAGGGCATTTTCATAACTAATTCATATGGTAAACATTTACTTAGTTGTCTTGTCTTTGGTTTGTCTTTATCAAAATCATTTAAAACTGGACATGAAGTCTCAAGTTAAATCGGGAGGCGCCTTCCGTCTACCTGGTGTACAGTCTAAGTGTTTTTTACTTTTGGACAAATCATCACATTCTCATTCTCATCACATTTCTCAGAGTCGATTAATAAGGCCATTATGTTTGCTCGTTAAAAACCAAAGAACTGTACAGGTACTGGGTTCTATTCTATCTAACTGTAGAGGTTTGGTTCTATTTATACATTTCAGATTCATTACATTTCTGGTCATTGAAGTTAAATCCCTCACACTTCTGAATTAATGTCCTAGCTGGCAGTTGTGCTACACATCCTGACTGTGCTTAGCTACAGCACTGTATGACGACCAGCATGGTAAAGATGTTTGCTACCAAAGCATGTCACCTAGGACAGATTTTTTTTTCAATGATAAAATCTTTTTATTTCAGTGCTTCTTTAAATTAAATTTTATTAACAGCTGTTATTTTGAAACAAATGAAGCACACAAATGTTTTTTTTTTCTACTGAAATAATGAATATAACTTGAATTGTGAGTGAAACTTTCAGCATGTGATTTTATTATGGAAGATATATGCAAACCTCACTTTGGGCTTTCTCATGATATGACATGACCATTATCAAAATGGTTTATTTTACCATTTACCATCGTTAAAATGGTTTATATTAACAAAAAATGACAGCTGCTTGATTTACATTCTGTTGAAAACAAAGCTTCCCATTTGGATGATTATCTAAATGGGAATCAAGCACTGCTTATGATGAATGAAAGTTGACTGTGGTGTGCCAGTATGGGAGTATTATTCATGTTGGGTTAAAAAAATGTTGCTCTATCATACAGGAGTAGATGGATACAGTTCCAGTTACTTTCCAACACCGCCATATTGCCATATGTCCCATATTTTAAGCTTGTTGCTTCATCAGTCAACACACTGATAATATTAGAAAAGCTGAGCAATGATTTGGATTAATTGTATTTGCACGTGTGTGTTACGCTTTGATATTCTGCTCTCAGGTGGGTGCAATAAAACAGTGTCCTCCCCTTTAGACTTGAGTTGTCATAAAAAGCCAAAACACAACCACAGCATGTGTGTATTTCAGTTTTTCATCTTCAGATTTCCTCAGTGTTGTGTCTATTCATTTGCAGCTGTCACATGTCCAAATGCAATGACAACAATGGCTTTGTCCCCATTACCTCAGTCATTGAAATATGAGGCAATATGATGCATGATCTGACAGTTAGCATGATGAAATGCCATGCACATCAATGTTTAATGATATTTCTAAATGTATTTAGTATGGGTAACATACTGACCTACAGTGTGCTGCTCTATGATAATGTTATGATACTGTACAACTTAAGCTTATACATAGCACATATAGCCCATTCCCTTAGCCATATGAGCAGGTGGAATGAATATCTAAAAACAAACACATTTTGCTATGGGTGTTTTGGGAGAGTGACAGGAGCATTTTGGAGAGATTATAAAAAAAAGTTGAAAATATGTTACGTTTAGCCTTTGAGTACTGTATACGACTGCAGATTGAGGAAGATACATTTACAGGTAAGCATTTCACTCGGCCTCTCTTCCAGAACAGTTTGTGTCAGTCAGGTACAACGTGCCACCAGGTGCACTCATCAGACCAACACAGAGATAAGATAACATATAGAAAACATTTCTGCAATAATTTGCTTACAGTAGGTTTCAAAGGAATTCCTTTGTTTTTATAATACACTACTGTCTGCGGTGTTTTATTCAGAGTTCTCCAACATGTCTACACATACAGTGAGCATCAGTGCCAGCTTAACATGGAAATTACCTCCCACAGCAGACTGGGCAGATCAAATAGGCACATCATTTCTGTATTGTTATGTACTATTAATGACTGAACAGTTATTAATACAATCTGTAACAACCACGATAAAGAAAATAAAAACAGACAATAAAACAAAGAAAAAACAAGCGTAATGATAAACTCAACATGACAAGACACAGACCAAAGTACATGAGGTGTTGAAAAGACTGATTCACATGTAACGCACATGGTAATCATTAGCATACACAAGCCTATCAGTTACTGAAGCAGTGTGACGGGTGAATGTGGAATTTTCTTGAGACAGGTTGAAACATGATGCAGCAAAATGCAGACACACTATCCTCTGAATGATGTAAATGGCTACAACGGATATTTTGTGAACTGCATGAATGGCGAGTACACTGGTAATGATCATTCAGAACTGATAAAAGATGAGAGAAGTAGCCAGTATCATGTATTTTGGATTAAATGTTTTTTTTTTTTTGCAGACTGAACCGCGATCTTAAATGCAATCATAAACTATTGTATATAGATCTATAGATATGAGTATTGCTTAACTTTAACAATCATATCTATGTGATTATGAAAATTGTTTACACTACAGACATTCAACATTAATTAAACAATGACAGAGAATCTGATATGCAAACCACACTTCACACCTGCCAGATACTGACAGTCTTCTCCATCTTTCATTCACAAGTGTATGGGAAATTCATACATGACATTCATTAACCTGTGGAGAAAGAAGTGCTCTCAACTTATATTCAACTGAACTCCAGGCTATTTCCTGTCCTCCTGTAAAACACCACTTTTTCCTTCTTCCTCATTAGAGACATGTCCAGCTATTTTGTTGTGGTTGATAACTCCAGACATCTGAGTCATGATGTCTAGTGACAGGAAGATTATGAAAAGGGAGCAGAAATATGAAAATTGCATCTATGATCCGTTGGTTTTCCTTCTTTGTCACTCGCAGATGAGACATGTATTTGAGGCAGAGGGTGAGCTGAGAGCCAGACTGTGATGTCATCGAGGAGAACTGAGTGTGTGTGTTCAGTACTGTACTGTTTGTGCGAAGAGAAGTTGAGGTTTCTATCCAGGTGGCTTTGGGTCATCCTCTCATTTCCCTCCACATGCTCAATTCAGGCTCTGGACCACAAAATCATCTTCTCTTCCTCTCATAAATATTAATATAATACTTTATTACCCATTGCCTTTGACCCTTATAACGCCATAAACAAAACAAAACGAGAAAGCAAAATATCAAAAACATTGAGTAGGTCTGACAAATTGCAACATCACATAATAAGTAGAATAAAACCCAAAGGAACAGTAGAGGTTGTATAAACGTTGTGCTTCTTTAATTTCACTTTGTAAAGTCCTCCACTGTCCTAGTTGTGTTTTAGTTTGAACTTTGTTATATTTAATATATATATAGATAAATGTACACGTATAATCCGCACTGAGGTTCGTCTCTTGTGGCAAGCAGAGGGAAAGCAGAGAGGCTACCAGGAGCACCCTTCTTTTTCCCTCTGTTTCTGGTTTGTCCTTTCCTCACCATTCATTTGTTTATCCATTCATTCATTCATCAGTTTTTTTTTTCATCTGTCTCTTTGTCATTCAGTAGCTCCCATGGTCCCAAAGGTTGGGACAGAAGGGAGACCGTTTCTGTAAAAAAAAAAAAAAGAAGGATTTTCCCCACTTTCTCTCTTTTACTTTCTTCCTGGAATCCCTGTTCCCTCGTTTTATTCCCTCAGGTCCTTTGTCATCTTTGGTAGAGTGTCCGACACTTTGGTGTGTCTCGGGAATCGGGTGGAAGGGCCGTCGAGGATTGCGGTTCAAGGGAGCGGAGGTACATGAGAGGGTGCGAGTATGGACGAAGAGGGTTGATGAAGGGCAGGAAAAGGTGACAAAGTGACACACTGACATGGATAACGTGAGTCTAATCAGATCAATGTTGTTAAGTTCATCTGTCGAAGATCATTAAGTATGTTCACCTTAAATATGGTACAAGTGTCAGTTGGCTATACTGAGTGTCTGGGGACGAAATGTTCAAAGAAAGCAGAGGAGGAGAAACTAGACAACGCTTTGTGGCTTTGTTTTACCATCTATCTAAGCAAGATGGATGAAATGGATGCATGAAGGATAGAAAGACGACGAGTGAAGAGGACAGACAGGTAAGTGGAGGGAAGGACAAGGGGAAGGGTGGAGAGAGAAGTACAAGAGCGCGAGTCAGGGCAGTGTCTGTCAGAGCAGACAGGTGAGGGTGTTGTGGGGAGTGCTCATCATCTGTAGAGTAGCGACAGGAAGCAGGAGAGGCCAAAGGTCAGCCAGCTGGCCAGTGGGAGTGAGTGTGATCCACCGATCAGAACTGTGGAAGCCAAAAAGAAAGCACAGATTCTTTATTAGTTTATACATGAAAGTAACAGTCGGCCAGCTTGTGGTATATCAGGTATTAAAGCAAAACTCCAAAAGGCACCAGTCCTAGTGATTAAGGCACCTGAAGATGAACTCTCCACACGCCTATTTTTGTATTACTTGCCTATAATTAGAGGCACGCTGTGCAATCATGAGGGCTGTTTACATTCCAACCATCACATGTCAATTAGTCCTTACTCATAATTCATTCTTGTATAAGGTGAGCTTTCATCGCTTGCTTATATTTTACATGTGCAATGGTTGATTTTGTTTTACCAGTGGCCATCACAACAAAATTCAAACAGGTTCAAGTTCGAGTATTATTTTATAAAGAACAGGCGAAACTTGACATTACATGAACCGCAGGCTAAGTAGATAACTGTGCATGCATATATTCATTTCTTTGGCCAAAGGCTGTCTTTAAGCCTGAGGCTGAGTGCACAGGCATGTGTAGTGAAAAAAGCCCTGTTGTGTCACAGAGTTTAGAGCTTTCTACTGCCTACCATCATGTGAACAACACCAACCCATGTTATCAATGTCAAACACAGGAAGGAGGTTGTAGAAAAATGCATCTGAAAGGATGGAGAGAGAGAGAGACTGAACCAAGAATGAGGGGGTGGATGAGTAAACAAGTAGGAGGAACAGAGAGATTCAGCGCTGATATCCCACACATTATTATGACAGCTTTGAGATTTTAATGAGTAAAATAAGTTACAAATGATGTTATCATCAGTAGGCTAATATATGATGGGTTGTCTTTCTTGATTTTCTTTCCTGCTGGTTGTTAGTGTTTCTGCACAGTGAGATGATATAGCACACACATCTTTTATGTGGTCATTTCATTGTTCAGAGCCCAACAGTTGCATAGATGAAATTCCCTCAGGCTTCCTTTTTATTCTTCTTGTGTACAAAAACACACTCATTCTCCTCTTTTATATACATACAACCTATGCTCTCTTACACAAATACAGCGACAAATTACACATGCAAGCCGCTCAAGGACAGTTTCATAAATAAAAAGAAGGTATTGTATTAAAAAGATCAATATGATTTCATATCAAGGGTCCATCCTCCAGGCAGAAAATCAATATTTATAATAAAGCTTTGATCCATAAATGTAGACCCCCCCCCCCCCCCCCCCCCCCCCCCCCCCCCCACACACACACACACACTCACACATACACTCCCCTTCCTACAGTTTGCAAGTGACAGATTGAAATGGAACATGGCATTTTGCATCTTTCTGTCCGTCTGTCTCTTTCTATCTTTCCTTTAACCCATCCTACCCCTGCTCTCTCTCTCTCTCTCTCTCTCTCTCTCTCTTTCTCTTTCTCTTTCTCTTTTGCATTCTTTCATGCTCTCTACACACAGTCTTGCAAAGGAGCAGGGAAGTCTATTTCAAGTGACTGTGCCGCAGTGATACCGGTTTCTATAGATCATACATCTGTCTGTTCTGTCATGGAATTAAATTGGAGTTAAAAAGATAATGAATTACTATGGACATTGTGTGCGTGTGTGTGTGTGTGTGTGTTTGTGTGTGTGTGTGTGTGTGTATCACTCTACAGGCAGTGCACATGGTCATTTCAATCCACTCACATAAATTAGAGCATTTACATCTGCTTCTTTGTGAGCTAAACAGAATGAAATTTTGTTTAGCTCACAATAATCTATCAAAAACCAAAAAAAAGTTCATGTCACAGTATAGTCAAACATTTAAAATTCTGACGCAAACTGTCCATGTTAACATCACATCTGCTAAGATACTTCCTGTCTTAAATTTGAGCTGTTTATGTGTAAATATTATTCCTGGGATTACAGCTTCACCCATTTAGAAAGTTCCCAGAGCATGATGTGGGGGGGGGGGGGGGGCAAATTGATAGAAGAGCAATAAAGAAAAAAGAGAATTCAGTTTAAGAGTAAACCAGTCAGAGACAAGCTCACCTTCCACCACCTCTTCTCTCCTCCTTCAAACACTTTCAACTGAGCTGGGCACAGCTCTGCAATTTATGTAGGTGGAGTTGCACCATATGTGTCACAGGCAATCATCCTTCATTTGTGGAGAACCGCAGGATAATAGTCCCCTGTGCATGCACATAGTTAACCTGAAATAAATGTGTGTGCATGTATGTGTGTAAGAAGGCTTATGCTACAGTTGTCACATGTGTGTGAGTCTGTGAGTATATGTGCATCCCTGCATATGTGTATGTCCAAACAAATATAATACGTCTCCACTGAAAACACCTCTGGGTGGATGCAGATGTATGTGTGTCAGTTACTCTGTATGCAGTGTGTGTGCGCGTGTGTGAGACACAGATGTGATGTATCAGTTGGGTGATGCTAGCTCACATACTGTCCCACCACATCCATATGAGATGTAGGGAGCAGCAAGTTCTCACCGGAGGAGTGTACTCTGGCTCAGACACATCCTGAATCTCTCTCTCTCTCTGTCTCTCTCTCTCTCACACACACACACACACACACCACACACACACACACACACACCACACACACACACACACACACCACACACACACACACACACACCACACACACACACACACACACCACACACACACACACACACACCACACACACACACACACACACCACACACACACACACACACACCACACACACACACACACACACAGTCATAATAGTTTGCTGATCAAACCTGCTATTGCTTTTATGTGCTGATTTGTACTTGTGCATTGAAAATCACTATCTCACTCGCCTCATCCATCTAAACTTGCACTGCCACACTGCCACTGTGTTCTGGAGATGCTGGTAAACACCTACTTATATGAAGATCGTCATGCCCAAGAACTTTGGATTGGACCCAGATGAACCTGGCACAAAATTACTTGCTAATAAATCCTGTGTGTTTTGTATTAACTGTACCTGAAGGTATGCTCTAACTGATTTTGCATGTTCCTCTAAGTCACATTCCTTTTCAATTAATTATACATAAACACGAGTTGAGTTTAGTCCTCCTCTCATCCTCATTTTACCTCGCCAACTCCACTCAAGACAGATGCATTTGTGTTTCTTACAGTGGCAAGGACTCTTTAGTTGCCTGCCTGATAATTACCCATCTGTCTGCGCTGTACATCTCTGCCTGCACAAAACCTGCAGGACACAAAAGCACACACACACACACACACACACACACACACACACACACACACACACACACACACACACACAAACACACACACAGTCAGAGAGCTGAAGAGCTTTCCTTCTTCCTGTTTACACTTTCATTCATTATTCACTTCATCCGCCAGTGTCTTTACATGCACATATGTGTGAGATTGCAACACATCCAAGCACACACTCACAAACACACTCATACACATGCGTCTCATTTTGGTAAGTGCGGGTTGTTAATGATTCACGTTCTCATCTTTGCGCTTTTGTGTTGTTTCCATGGCTCCAATGTTGTCCTTGTAGCACGGCATACAGCAGTAAATGTGAACAAAACCATGTTCTCACCACATGTTGCTCCATAGAATCTCATCATACTACAAGAACTTGCAGCAGTAAGGTCCCTGCTCTGTTGTTCTACCTTTAGGATTTTTCCTTTTTTCACCATTAGAGGGTTTTTCAGGGAGCTTTTCCTCATTTGAATTCAGAGTCTAAGGATAGAGCCTGTCATATGCTGCACTGACCATAAAGCCATTTGAGGCAAATTTGGGATTTGTTTGACTATATACACAAAACTGACTCAAACTCAAATTGCACTTCAAAACAGTGGACAAATTATGTTACAAACTACATAATTTTTCAAATGTTGTGATACTTTTTAAGTAAAAGTGAGTCTATTATGTTGATCCACATATGTGATTCTCATTCAGTCACAGTTTCAAAGTGATGGCAGTGTCAAATAAGATACGGTGCCAACTAGCTGTTGTGCATATCAGTAGACAGAGAGAACACAATGAAGGCTATGATTAGAGTTTACTGATGTTTATATCCATGTGTGTGTGTATTTGTATGCACATCTTGGCTGGCAGAGGGCAGCTCTTACTCTACCTAAGGCAGGTTTTAGTCACATTTTCTCTTTCTTCTTTTGGTTCAGGGACCAATCGCTCTCTCTCTCCAACTCTTCCCCTCTCTCTCTCTCTCTCTCTCTCTCTTTCTTACCCCTGCACACACACACACAAACACACCACAACACACACACCATCACCAGCACACACACACACACATCATACACACACACACACAAACACACACACACACACACACACACCTTCACTCACTCTCTGACCTTTTCTGTCTCTTGTCTCTTCTCCACACCCATACCCTCTAGGCTATTTGAGTCTCTCTCCACACGCTGACATGGACATGCAATCATACACTGAAACTCACTGTTTTGTCTTTCTGGTTTCACCCTTATAGAGAAGTGGACCCTCACGAACAGTATTCAGAAGTAACAAATTAGTAATCTGGTATTCTATTCACGGGCTGACAGCTTGGTTTGACTTGTCCTGCAAGTTGCCGTGAGTGTAAAGAAATCATGATCAGTTTATGGAGCGAAAACAACTTTCCCTGTTGGATCCAGCTGTGTTTCTCTATCTCTCACTGTGCAGATATTGCTGTGTTGCACATTCCACTTCACTCATGATCTTTTTTTTCTCTAAATCCTTATCATCGCACACTTCCTCTCTGTCCTCTCTCTCCCCCCTCTCTAAAGGGTAAATAACAAGCTTTTAAGGATGAAGAGCAGTGTGCAGAGGTATACAGATAATGAAGGGTTGGTTGCTAATATGGAACAGAAGGTGAGAAGAAATAATTAAGGTGGGTGTGGAGGAGGCAGTGGGGTTGTCGCGTGGAAAGTTAGAGGATGACAAGATAAAGGGTAAATAAAACGATGGAGGTGAGCCTTCCAGTTCGCCCCCATGCTAGTGGTGTCCAGTTGTGTACAGCCCCCACACTGACAACATTTTTCTCTCATATTTCCACACTTCCAAAACACTTGAGAAGACATTTAGTTCGTTTTCTCTTGTTCCTTTGAAATCCTGTCTACAGTAATTCCCTTCTCTGCTGCCCTTCAATTCATTTCTTTTCTGCTGAAATCAATTCATTTCAGCTCAGTTTAAGTCTGTTTCTTGGCAAAGCGCTTTACTGTCATGTCTTCTGAAAACAACAAAGCTATCAACATTTTTAGACCTTTAAGAATTATATTGCCTTCCTTAATTCAGTTCTCTTGAACGTAGACAGACAATGAGTGGGGTGGAAACAGTTAATCCCAGATGATTCTTTGTGTTTACATCTCTCCACTCAAAAAAAAGTCTATCTTACCTGTCTTACCTGCGCTGGCTACAGTGTTCTCCTGTTTGCACTTCCCTAAGGTGATGGACACGTCGTCAATGGCAATATCCCCTTCGAAACCCGAGCCTCGAACTCCTTCAAACACAATCTGTTCAGGGAAGAGACAAAAACACAGATGGATGCTGGGTGAGTACATCTGACAATATCTAAACATTACGATGAAACATTAGCACTAATCCTTCAGTATTGCAGATATAGAAGCATTAATGTGTCCTTATCCCATAATAATTTGTGGACCCCGCAACAACAAAATTAAACAGGAGACCGATCTGAAAACTTTCCAGACAACGTCTCCATTTTAGCCACCAGCCATCTGGTTTTGACTGACAGCCTAATTACCGTGGTGTACCAAGGCACCAAAAGCCCATTGCACCCAGCTAATCAAAAACCAAGTGTATTCTGTCTGGAATATCAGGAGGGAAAAAGCAAACAAACAAGAAAACATTGTTGCTCCACAATAACAACGAAAGCAACACTGTAGCCGTTATTTGCTATACTGCAGACATTGGTACTTTATAATGTTTAATTTCAAATATGACAGTCCAGGTGCTTGCTGTGTAAATCCTATAGTAATCATGGCTTATTTGATCTGTTTAGGTGGTTTCTAGAGACTAGTAGTGCGTTGGCACATACACATAAATATATTTTCTATTACAACTGCCAACTAGCCTTTGAGCAAGGCACTTTACGCTTAGGCTTTTCCAACAGAGCAGGGAGAGTAGCAGGTGAGGCTGATGGAAAAACAACTGCCTGCATTCTACCTGTAAACCATTTCTTTGTACGTACAGAGCGAACAGGTGCATACATCGAGTGGTAAATATGCATGACTGGCCTCACTTTAGAAACCCAGCACAGAGTATTTAACCTAAGAAACAGGCAGAGCAAGGTTGCCATCAATTTGTGTGTAAATATATCAAGCCGCAGCCAGGGTGGATTCAATTAACCCAAAGAAAAGCCTGCCCCGACCCCATATATGGTCTAAGTAAATGAAAGGTGGAGAATGGCGGAGCAAACACCACAGTAACCATCTCTCACTGCCCAGGCATTCCATTACCTGCGTTTTAATCTGCAAGCGTTGTGCTGTTAGCTCCTAACAGCTGTGTCAGTTTGAAGTATCAAAGAGAAATTCATGGGGCAGATACCAATAACCCATTTATTGCCATAGACAAGGAGCAGCATGACTGTGTGCATGTGAAGTAATTTCTCCATTTCACCTCAGCAGTGTAATCATGAAAAGTTCAAGTTCAAGGTGAATAAAGAAACTTAGTGGAAAATGATAATTCTGTAAATCTCCCTCACCTCTGTCTCAGTTACTGTGCTCCTGCTGGAGAATCGCTCAACATTTCTTACCGTGATTCACTTAAGCTTAAGTCAGCTGATCCCAGTACTGCCCAGCATGTCAGCACACGCTAACTTGTGCATATACAGCTCGCCCGAACCATTTTTCTCTCTCCGTGTCTCACTCTCTCCTTCCCTCCAATTCAGCAACATTCAGAGAGGGGAGGGAAACATAAGAGCAGTACCACCTCTTTCCCACTTGCTTTCTAACTTAGTCCCCGAAGGAGAAATCTTCTCTGAAGGAATAAATAAAATAATTAAGAGAACCTTGAAGCTGACTGGATGGTGTGGAGGGAGTAGGAAGATAAGTGCAGCAGCAGCACAGGCTGGATGGGTTTTTTCCCTCGTTTTTTAAAAGGGTTATTAGATTTTCTTAGGCAGAGGGAAGATGTGAATGAAATTCAGGGACGGTAGAGAGTAATTGGTCAAAAGGACATTCTCATCTAAAACATACAATGCTGTTTATTCACCGTGTGCCTATGGTTACCATTTTCTTTCATTTATGGGCTTTCTTCCTTAAATTATATTCTTTAATAGAACCAGCCCAGCACACAATACGATCCCTACAGCCAACAACAAACACACATGCATACAAACACACCTGCACTGACACTGGAGTTTTTTGCACGCTTGCCCCTGTACACCTGCGAGCATGAGACACCAGATTGTTGTATAATTAGAGATGATGAGAAAAATAATTGGGAGAGGGAAGCCCAGAGAAACACTGGCCTTGACACAGTACACAGAACAACAGCACAAACAGCCATCTCCTTTAAGTTACATAACAACGCAATCATATTCTCTAAGATTATCAAACAGAATTGCACGGCACAAAGCAATGCAATATCCTGCTTTGCAGCAGAGGATGGCAAAAAAAAAAAAAATGATTTCATGTGTTTATTTTTCTGGAAAAGGCTCAGGGAAACAGGCCTGTGCCCTTTCACTTAATGTTCACTGCTGACAGATCGAGCTGAAGTGTGACCTGCCTGTGCCGACAGTTCCTCACACTTAAACATCACTGCTGGGCACTGTGCTGAAGCGTATACACAAGTTTATCTCAAGAGTTTCTCAACCTTGGGTGTGGCAAGGTTGCTTGATATAAAGTCATTTAACATTTTCAGACAAGATTTCCATCATTCATATTCGTCAGATATATTTTTAATGAAAAAAAAATTAAGTATACAGGATGCAATATTCAATTATTAGGATTATATATATTATAAACGATCTGCGCACTTAAAAGTAGATTACCAACGAACGCCTTTCTAAAACTCTCACGGCAACAGGGACAGGTCTGTAAGTGGTGGGGTCACAGGATTGTGGGAAGTAAAAATAGGGTCATGGGCTACTAAAGGCTCATATTATATCTAATGTGTCTGATATTTAACTTTGACATTTACCAAATACTTAAAAACCATCACACTGTTTTGGAAAGGTAGACTTCAAAGTCTCTTCTTCAAAATCACGTGTAAAATTCTCTCAATTCCCAGTTCCTGTCATATGAGAGCGTGTGTGTGAGGAAGCCAAAGTGAGATAGACAGCTCGTGTGTGTGTGTGTGTGTGTGTGTGTGTGAGAGACTGTAGGATCAAAGGGTGTACAGTAAAGTGTCAGGTTGGAGTTGTGAATGTGTCGTTTTGTCAAGCCTTGTAACCTTTTAATGTTCCCATTGATGTGCTGTCCACATACCAGAGGGGACACAGCCGCGAGAGAGCGTAAGAGAGAGAGAGAGAGAGAGAGAGAGAGAGAGAGAGAGAGCTTTGAAATACCAGTGCAGAAGAGACTTACTGCAGTGTGAGGCAGGCAAATGTGGGTTGGCCTGGTTTCCAACAAGCCCCCCAGGTACCAAACACTGCGAGGAACACAGATGGCCTCTGGGTAATCCACAGAGGAGAGAGAGGGGACACAAATAATCTACTACAACATGTTACCTCTTTTTTTTCTTTTCTTTTTTTCCTTTTTTTTTGGGAACTCCATTGATTTCATGATCTCAATGAACAACCAGTATCAAGGCCAATAATCACTCTGATAATTAGAGATTTTAGACATGAACGTGATTGGCTTGCTCGCAAAAGAAGACAGATGGTGGTTCATAACAACAATAGAAATTACCACAGATACTGATTGACAATGTAATAGTGGAGAGACTTTTAGGAATGTGAATGGAAAACTCAAAAAAATGATTTCTGTTTCCCTGAAGATGCAATGAATCCAAATCAAGAGCAGAAAAGCTCATAAAGAGGGTGTTCACATTTCATGAATTTACGACTGGAATATACACAGATGTTAATAATCATAGCCAGCAGGCAGTAAACAATTTAAATTCTAATGCTTCCTTATCGGTTGGCTCTACCCCTGTTTACAATAACAGCCTTGTATTAATGCAAGCCACTGGCTGGGCTACAGCTCCTGTTTTAGAAAGGCAGGAAGGATAGCTGTTCTCAAAGACATCATTACTTTTGTTGGACGGAGCACAAAGAGAGGGGAAATGCTGAGCCGAGTGGCAGTACCTCAAAGACCTTCAGTGTATGCAGTCAGCGAGCTGTGCACAGGACTAGAAAGTTTGTGTTCTCTGTGGACATGCTCTCAACATGAAGCACAAATCAAACAAGTGTCAATATGCACTCACTCCTGCAGTCCGTGGAACGAAATAACATCTAATCCAAAAACCGATCCCCCGGGAATTCAGCTGATTCGAAAATCATATGAATGCTGCTCAAAGGGGAAATTTGAAACAACAGATAATGGACACGGCAAGACTATAGCTGTTTATTTTTCTTGGGAGTTTGGGTTAATGGTTTTCTTCAACTGCAGAGAAATAGAATCAGTATAAAACAGCAAAGCAACAGCCACAGACAGAGCATCCGCTCTATACACAACATTACCTGGACCTTAATTAAACTGGGTTTGCACATTAACCAGCTTTGGTACACAGGTCATTGAAGTGGGAAATTAATGTTGATATTACTGCCATTCAAAATGAACCCAACATCCAAACTTCTCTGAAAAAGATCAAGAAAGACTGACAGTAAGACAGGGACACATCGAGCATGTAGGGAGGCTGAAAATGAAACTTAAAGGGTCACTCTACCAGTTTTACGTATAGTTAAATAGAGAACTATTCAAGCTGTGAAAACTTAAATAATATCTTCTGTGGCTCTGGAGGAGCTCTGTCAAGTCAATCAGGGTTATGTGGGTTATGCAGAATGTTTACTGTACAAACTAGATTAATTTTGGCCATTCCTCTTTGTGTATTGCAAATACCTCAAGTCAAAGGATGTGCAATACTAAATCTTAGTATGCATTAAACTTAATGTTATTGTAATGTAATTCTACATAATATATGATTTAAATGTGTGTCACACTGCAGCTGCAGACTGGAATCCCTGTGGGAGATGGCGACCAGTGATTAACCTGCGATAGCGGTCTCAAATGAATGGGTTCAAATGCAGGTTGAACGTGAGCTCATCAGACCAATAATACACGCACCTCTTCTGTTTCGACGAGGCATAAATAATTCACTGTGACAAAACAATTTAAACAAACCACTTGTGACTAATCCTAAACGCTTGTCAACAGCCTGACTCCACTGTCTAAGAATTCATGCAATGAATCATGCACACTGGATACTGTTTGGACTCTGCATAGCATCGACACTGTTTGGTTACTGTTTATTTGCCAAAGGTGGCGAGTCTTTGCATCATACTGTAAAACAGCAACCCAACCCTTTTGTTTCCAGCAGCCAAAACACA